CTGCAGCCTGCAAGATGCCCTCACCAAGTGCCCCCACCAGATGCCTTCACCAACTGCCCTGCCCCCACCAGCAGTGCTCTCTCGGGTGTCCCCTCGCACTGTAGATTCTGGGGCTTGGAGCCCCTTCTAAAGTGCTTGCAAAAAAAGTTCCAGAGTCGGTTTGTCGCGGCGAACAGCTCCGGAACGTGCCGGAACGTTACGTAACGGCTCCAACCGCTTTCCCAACAGACTTCCGAGCAGTTGGCGGGGCAAGTTCCCGACCGCTTTCCCAACAGACTCCCGAGCTGCCCCGGCCTCAATCCCCGGCAAGTTCCCGAGCCGCTTTTCCAATAGATTCCCGACCGCTTTCCCAACAGACTCCCGAGCTCCCGGCCTCAATCCCCGGCGAGCTTTTCCGACAAGCTTCTACTCCCGGCAGGCGGAGCCACCGGTCCCGCACTGCCACGCCAACAGGCTCGCGCGCTTGCGCACGCTCACACGCCCGTCGAACTACTCCAGAACGCGCCGGCTCGCACCTTAACGGCTCCGAAGCTCGCAAAGTGCCCACGAAGTGGCGCGCGCCCAGTTTGCAAGCACTTTAGAGCCCCTAAGATTGCGAATCCTACGCCGTCCAGTGGCTCGCCCACACAACCGTCACCGGCGTCTCGGCCGAGGACCGCCGGCGCCTCGACCTTGTCGTCTACGGCGCCACTGCCAACGGCGGAGCGCTGTGCTGCGACGCTACCCTCGTGTCCCCCCTTACGAGGACAGGGCACCCACCCCCATCCGTGCACGGTGGAGGTGGACGGGGCGGCACTCAAGGTAGCGGAGCGTCTCGCAAGTACAGCACTTACCCGGAGCTCGCGAGGGGCGGCCCGCAAAAGTTGCTGGTGCTCGGCTCGGAGATAGGAGGCCGCTGGAACGTGACGGCGCAGCACTTCGTTCGCCGCCTCCGGGCCCTCCGCGCACCGCCCGCAGTGCGTAACGCCGCGTCCTCAGGCTGGGCGCGACGTTGGTGGGGCGCCTTGTCCGTCGCGGTCCAGCTCGCCGTGGCAAGCACAGCCTTTGGGCGCTCGTGGCCAGCAGCTCCTGCGCCGGGGCCGGGCGACGGCCCAGCACTGGACCGTGTGCTTGACCTCGCCGCAGACGACGGGCCAAGCCGCCTGCCATTGCGGCCCTAAGCCGGGACTGCTCCTAGATATCGTAGGCGTAAAGTAGCTGAGACGATTTCTTGCAGGCGGAAAAAAAACTTTCCTGTCGCAAAGAATATGGCGATTTGCATGAAAAGCACGGGAGGCAGATTGCAGGGGAAAATATACGTCGGCCGTTGTGTTACCAGACCCTTCGTCAGAGACCAAGCATCCCAGCCAACGATGTGTTGTGCCCCCTGAGAGGATCCCCACAGTCAGTCCACAAGGAGTCGTCAACTGTGGTGAAGCTTGAGCTTCCGTCGTTATGATTTTGGTTTTCTTCGGGTTGAGAATAAGCCCGACGTGGCTGCAACATCGGACAAGCTCGTCTAATATCCACGCTGCATGCGCGAAGATGTCGTGAGCGTGAAAACATCGTCGGCAAAACGAACGTCTAACAGCTTCGGCAAGTTGTCGTATAATTCAATGCCCGCCGCGTCGACATTATGTCTCCATCCACCCATTGCTAATTGCAATACTGCATAGAGTAAGCGCGGACTGAGCACACATCCTTGACGAACTCCGCATGAAATCTGAAACAAACGACTGGACTCTCCATCATCACTTCGAACAACTCCTAACTGTCCAGCATGAAGTTCTTGCAATATCCAACTCAAGTGTGCGGAAACGCCATGCTGCGCAAGTGCCGACCATAAAGCTGTCCATGACACACGGTCGAACACCTTTGAAAAATCAATGCTAATTACCCAAAAAAGAATGTTGGCCGCCAATGTCTTGTCCAACACGGTATGTGCTGTCAATAAGTGCTCTTCGATGCGGCGTCCTTTCTTGAATCCATGTTGCTCCTCAGGTTGATGTGCATCTAAGACAGCTTCTATCCGACCCAAAACCAAGCAAGCAAAAGTTTTGTACAGCAACCGAACATTGGCAATAGGTCGAAAATCCGTTGTGGTTTTTGCCTTGACAAATTTCGCCAACATTCTGAAAACTGTTTTACGGAACATCTCCTGTATGCAAGACGTGGTTGTTACAACCGTAACAATTCTTGCAGAAACAAGTTGGGTGCATGCTGAAGCAACTCAACTACCGAGCCGACTTCATCGGCCGCCTTGTTGACTTTCATCCTTCGTAACGCAGAAATAAGCTCGCTCATGCTCCAAGCATTTTCCGTCAAAACTTGCGGTCGACCAGGCAGCGGTGGATTCTCGTAAAAAAACTTTCCCAACTCGTCAGCAAACTCATCCGGTGGGGGCTGCAACGACTTCGGCTTGCCGGCAAAGGAGGAAAGTAACGACTTCATGCTCGACCACGATGATGCCTGCAACGCACGCTGAGTTTTTGAAGCCTTCCAAACCCGTACTTCGCGGCGGTGCATACGGAAGATCTGCAAACTCAAAGCTCTACGTGCTCCAGCATCGCCACAAGCATGTCGTTGCACACGCAAGCTTTGCAGCTGCCGTGATGGGCGGAAATTGAAATCATCAAGTTGGCACGTCCCACATCGAGACGCTGCAGATGAAAGAAGCTGTTCCAGCTCATCAAACGTTGCATGCTCATGATCAGGCACCGAAGCTTGTAAGGCGAACTTGTATTCGGAAGCGTCACCCTGATCGTCTGCATTTGGCCTCCAAGAGCGAAAACGGCGAGTTTTGCGTCGGAACTTCCGCGGACTGCGAACGCAAACACGAAAGGTGCAGTGTACACAGCGATGGTCAACCCCAGTTTCGATGGAGAAGTCATGCCGGCAGTTTTGTTCCAATTCGAAACAAGCCGGGCCCCCTCCGGGCTACTTTAGCCACTGCCAGCTCAGTTTCGGCTGTTTGCGCCCCCGGGCTGCCGCCGGATTGTGCTCAGGTGGCGACGCCGGCCGCTGGCACAGCACAGGCCGCGCCCGCGGCCGCCGAGGTGCGGGCTTCAACCGCGACCGCAAACATCGTTCCCCCCTCATTCCCCTGTACCGTCTTGTGGCCGCACTACTGTTGGCCGCTGGCGCCCCCTCGGGCAGCCGCGGCCACCGAACCAAGGTACTTCGCCCATATTTCGGCCTTGGTTGCTAGCTGCCACTCAGGTCGGGCCCTCAGCAACTGCTGCACACTTCACGTTTTCTTCTGTCAGGCCGCCGCCGCCTGCTTCTGAGTCCGAGCTATAGTTGGTTCAGGTTTTTGAGCGGACTCTGCCAACCTGCGTGCCCGAACCGCACTACAAAAAGAGCGTTCCGCTGCTTCACCGTTGCACCAGCCAGCGCATACCTGCCGCTACGCCGCCGCACATCAGCATGTCCATGCCCAAGCGTTCGCGCGATGCCTCTCCAGCTGCCCGCCGCAACCCCACTGCCCACGCCGTGCCAGCCGGCAGTGCGCTTTCCTCGGCAGCCACCGGCCGTGGCGACGCGCGTGGCGCAGCGTCCGTCGTTACAGTGCTGGACGACACGCCCCCCAATACTCCACGGGAGTCCGACATCTCCCTCAACACGCCGCCGGCTCTCCCAGAGGCGGACTTGTGTGCGATCTGCCTGGACCCCATCGACCCCACGACCACCGGCGAGGCATCAGCAGTCCTCCACCCGACGTGCGCCCGCCACCGCTTGCACCTTGCGTGTCTCGCGCAGCAGCGGGCCCAAGCCGATGCTCCAGAAGGCATGCACTGCCCGGTCTGCGCTGCGGGAGGCTGGGCCAACGCCGACGACCAATGGTTGCGAGCGGCCTGTGCGACACGGGGGATCGAGGCGCCTACACGGCTGCCCGCCCCGTCCACCGTGCGCCACGGCATGCCACGGCGTCGCGGACTACACGATCCGCACATTCACATCCAACGATGCGCCTGAACCTCAGCCACCAACTCATGTGCGCGTGCTCTGCTGCCGCCGAGTCGCAGCCGTCCGTGGGGACGGGGGGGAAATCAATTTCGTTGAGCTCCCGGACCGGAGAATGCAGTGGTCACCCATCGCCGTCCGCGGTGACACCGGCATCATGGCATGGCGCCTGTCCTGGGCGTGCCCGCGCTGCTCGCGAGTCCTGGACTGGGAAGAGGCTGCGGTGCCTGCCGACGCTGGCACGCCCTGTCCTGACGGTCACCGGCCTCGCAGTTGGGAGTTCGACGCCACAGCTCGCACTGGCTGTTCGTGCTGCGCCTGCGGACGGTAACCCCAGCCGATCGCCGGGGCACCCGAGGCGCTCGCCGTACTCCCCGATGCGCCTGCCAGCGATCTCGCCCCCGTGCGCGGGTCGTGGTACGAAGTCGGTCCGCCAGCAGGGAACTCGCACTCAGCCACAAACTCCTGGTTGTTCGTCCCGCTCCTGCACGCCGCATGCGGCACCCTGTCTCCGCGAGCCGCCGAAGCATGGAGCCGTGAGGAGCGCTGCCAGCCATGGTGGGGTGAAGCACGCCACACGCTCCTTCACTCGGCGCCGGTTGCTGCCGCCCTGCTCCTCGATGCCCTTCGCGCGGCAGCTGCCCAGCACCACACTCCACCTCCCCAAAACTTCATCGCTGCAGCCCAGGCGTTGCCCTCCGGCGCTGAGCTGCATTTAAGTTGGGTCGTTCGTCAGCTCGCTTCTGCCGAAGGCTACATCCACGCAGGAGCGCAGGAAGTGTGTCTGCAACTGTATGGGGGGCTCAGTTTTGCTGCGAACCTCGACCGCTTTTCTGATTCGTTTCGCCGCAACGACGAAGCGCCGGTCCCTCCTGCACCTGCTGGCCCGCGTCCCGCCGCTGCAGACCTTGGTGCACGGCAGTCTGACGGTGACGAGGGCCTCGACTCGCCCGACGACGAGGTCGCTGCCGTTGTTTCGGAGCGCGCCCCGGGCGCTGCCCAGCAACGGCGTGGGCGAGGCGGAGGGCGTCGCGGCCGCAGAGCAGCACGCGGACACAGGATTCCAGAGCCTCCGGTGCTGGCAGGCGCCCCTTGCACGGCCGCCGCAGCTCCAACGCAGGCGGAGCAACGGGTTGGCGCTGCTTCCACAGGCGTGCGCCTCGGCCTCGAGCAGCTCGACGGCGTCGATCTCGCCTTTGAGCTGCGCCGTCGGACACTCACACTCCAAAGCGCTCCGACCCAACTTCGAGGCGTTCTCCGTTATGCCCTGCGGACGGGGTTGGAGCAGGCCGTCGCAGGTGCTGGGCCGGACGACACAACCCGTGGCTGGAAACTCTTTTTCTTGGCACCCCGCATGCTACTGCACCGCGAGCCCGGCCAATCGCGCATCGAGCCTGCCGAGCTCGAGCGGCGCGCAGATGCGTTCCGCCGCGGTGATTGGCCCTCGCTTCTCCGCGCAGCCTGCTCCGCACCTCCCGCGCAGCCTACCCCGTGCCCACCCGCTGGCGGGGCCGACTCTGAGCGTCGAGCGGCGCGCGCCACCGCGCTCGTCCACTTGGGGGAACTTTCTGCAGCGAGTCGGGCCCTCACGGCCGAGCCACTCGCCGCCGGCAACCAATCCACGCTCGCAGAACTCCGGGACCCCAGCCGCCGACCTCAAACACCAGTCGTGCCACTCACCCCGGAGGTGCTCAACCATGTCGCGGAGCCATGCCCCATGCCAGACACGCTGCTGCTGGCCAACCTGCGCGCGGCCCGGCGGGGCTCGGCCGCAGGCCCTTCAGGCATGACCAATGAGCACCTGCGTTTGCTGCTGGACGACCCCGGCGATATACCTTGCTCCACCAAGCAGCACTTCGGTTCGCCAACGCTGAGGTGCCGGCGCCTGTCCTGGCAGCCGCACGCCTCGGACGAATCGTAGCGCTCCGGAAGCCGAATGGCCGGGTGCGCGCGCTCGTCGTCGGGGATGTTTTTCGCCGCCTCGTCGCCCGTGCCTTGGCACAGCACTTCGCGGAAGCCCTCCAAGCGGCATGCATGCCCTACCAGTTCGGCCTGAGCACGCGTGCGGGTACTGAGGCGCTGTACAAGCTCCTCCAGGTCGCCACCGAGTGCAATCCCCGCACCACAGTCCTGTCGGTCGACGCTGTAGGGGCGTTCGACCACGTTTCTCGGCAGGCCATGCTCGAAGGGCTGCGCTCGCGACCTGAGCTTGCCCCGCTCCTGCCGTTCGCTCGCCAGTTCTACGGCACGGAGAGCAGCTACGTCTGGACCGACGACGCTGGCACCGAGCACGAGATCTTGCAGGCCGAGGGCGGAGAGCAAGGCGACCCCCTCATGCCAGCGCTTTATGCGGTGGCACAGCACGCTGCCCTGCACGCTGTCGCGTCCGCACTGCAGCCAGGCGAAGGCGTTTTCGCGTTCCTGGATGATACCTACATCGTCTGCCCCCCGGAGCGCGTCGCCACGCTGTATGGCACCCTCGCCGCTGCCCTTTGGGACCATGCCCGAGTCCAGCTCAACCAGGGCAAGACCCGTGTCTGGAACGCAGCTGGAGCGGAACCGCGAACCTCGCTGCACTCCAACCGGACCCCAGCCTTGCCACTGACGTCTGGGTCGGGGCATGGACCTTGCCTGCAGAGCGCCAGGGGCTCGTTGTGCTCGGTGCGCCGCTCGGCACTGAAGCCTTCGTGCAGCGGCAACTGCGGGACAAGCGCCGCAGCCAGGATCTCCTTCTCGAGCGCATCCCCGCCCTGGGCGACCTGCAGGTGGCTTGGTTGCTGTTACTTTACTGCGCGTCCCCCCGCGCCAACTACCTCCTCCGCATGCTCCCTCCGCACTGCACGGCCGATTACTCCCGCGAACATGATCGTGCCGTCGCCTTGTGTCTCCGCACCCTGCTCTACGGGGAGGAAGCACCCGAGCTGGCAAGTGATGCCCTTGGCACGGCACAGCTCCCGCTCGGGTTAGGGGGCCTGGGTCTGC